CATGAACCGTTAGACTAAGGTACTCGAGTACAGTACTCGTAGGAAGGAGGAACAAGTGGTCAGGATCTAAAAACTCCAGCCCGGTTGCGAATTTAACCATGATGTTCAAAGATCCAAAGCCTGCACACACGGACCCCGAGAGAAGGAAAGATGTCGCAACATTAGTCCCTGCGGGGTAGATTCCTTTTTTTTTTTTTTTTTTCTTCCCTACTTTCTTTTCTTGGGCTTGGTCGGTTTTGGAAAGCTTACTTGCGAATTGATCAACACCTTTCTCCGGTAACCGTGGAGGAATATAGGGCGATTTTCACACTGCGATCCGATATACGGTATGGCGGTTTGCCGTTCCCCACGCTTGACCGTGGCACGGAGACCGAAATTTTTTTTTTTTTTACATTTTCGTTCTTTGTGACTGTGCTTCTACGGTACTTGGTTTTCTTTCCCATCATCTTAGACATCGTTTGTACAGTACTCGAGTACCGTGTGTATGTGCCGTGATACCGCTTTCGGGTCAATGATGGTACAAGTAGGTTCGGTACTGCGATGGTGAACACAGGTATCATCGGAATTGAGCACAATTGGGGAAGGGCCCGATATGTCAATGGGTACATATCCCATTTATCCCATTTCATATGTCATGTCATGTACCAATAGTCCTTCATGCGTGCGTACCTGCGTGTGATAACAATAATAATAAGTGGTACAAGTAATATTGTACTTGTATGATACTCGAGCGCCGGTACAGTACGAGCACCGGCAGATTTGCTAAAGGCTGGGAAAAAAATTTGCCCATCTGTTTAATTAGCAATTAGAGCTTGGCAAGCCACTGAACTCGAGAATTCACAATGCCGGTATATGATTCTTCAGAGCGGAATTTTCAGTACGCCCCCCCCCCAGTGAACGAACGCTGTTGCGCAATCAAGCTCTGAGAGCTTTGGGCTCCCATTCGCAACCTCGAGGGAATTTACTCGAGCACAGTACCGTACCGTACGTACTCGTACCCATATGGCAGGATTGAAAGCCACGCCCCTTTCGGTCTGCCACCACGGGAAAAAAAGGCGACTTCGATCCCATGACATGAGCACGATACTCGAGTACCGGTATCCTTTCGTAAAAAGTCGGACTCGCGCTACCGGTAAGGTCTGTCCAATTGGTTCTCGCTACCAATACTTGCTCAGAGTTGTGGCGGTTTGGAAGTTATTGTGCCTTCTCGCTGGCTCGGCTGCCCTTAGCTTAACTCCAGTTCCACTCTTACGAAAAGATACGATACCGGTAATCAAAACTTTCAGCAGCCCACCATCTCGATAATGATGGACGACGACGATGGTGGTGGTGGTGGAGAAGGATTTGAGAGCCTTCAGATCTGGACTCACGGATATCATGTGGCGCTCAGCTGGCCTGAACGCTTCCAGATTGTGCTCGAGTGCTGTACTTGTACTGCACCGTACTAGTACTCGTACAGGTTTCGGTAAGTCCTACATAAGCGAAAGTGAGGACAGGTGGATAAGCACGGGATCCGGTATGAAGTACCCGAAATGCAGGGATCAAGAGTCTGTACTCGAGTACCGTACCGGTAGTCTACTCGAGTATGGCAAGCTATCTGCACATCTGAGCGCCCACACCAAACCCAGCCCAAATGTCCCGGGACTCCCATGCCGCATACCGTGAGGTAAAAAACAAAAAAACAAGCCCAACAAATGCTCAATGTTGGCTTCGTTATCCCAATTCCGCACACTGGATGCGAGGATTCCCTTCCAGAAAACCCGAGTGGGAGAGTGGTTCATCGGATGAAACAGAGAAATAGATAAGAAGTGGAAAAAAAAACAAAAAAGACAGCGTGGGATGAGGCTGTGTGTGCAAGGGGGCCGTGCCAAATGTTGGAATGGGAAACCCAGGGAATTGGGCTTCCGTTTGGGAGCCTTTGTCCAATTGGTTCACCGGTGGGAGAGCTCCGTCGAGGAAACAGCTGTGTGTGTGTGTTCTCCCTTCGCTCTGGGATGACGTCTGTCGTGTGGGGGAAAGGGGAGATTGACAAGGCAAGGGGAGGAAAGTGAGGGTAAAGGGGGGGGGATCCTGGGTACTCGAGTAAGTCGAATGTGGGGTGTTGGGCCCGGGCATCAACGCTTCAAGATTCCCAACTTTCCATTTGGTTGTTGTCCTGTACCCCTGTAATTATTTTGTCGAAATTTGCTTTTCAAAATGGGTTAAACTCTCTGTACACTTCCTTAATACCGGTTACCCGTATCATGCTAAGAGTGTTGGTCTCGAGGGGATCAATTTCACCTCCCATCAAACAGTTCAGGAACCGGAAACCTGGAAGCGAAACGTTGGAATGCGTGCCGTAACTCGAGTACTCGTACTATTAACAGTACTATACGTGGGGGTAACTTAGCTTCCCACGAGGATAAGAAAGAAAAAGAAATGAGGAAGAAAAAAATGTTAGGCACAAGGATGGGAAAGCAATTGGGTCCCAATAAAATGGAGACAGCCTCGTGAGAACAAATCAGACTTAAGGTGAAAGATCGGAAAAACTTCTCAAGGACCCTCTGAGCACCCCCCCCCCTTGCCGCCATGTCATCGATCATGTGGGTTTGCCTTGCAAGTAGGAGTACATTTCCGAACTTCCCACAAGGTTTCCAGCTCCGACATCTCGGCGCTGGGCGTTCGGTTGCCGATATCGGAGTATCACAGTGATATCCTTTCCAGCTGAAAAAAAGGGAGGAAAAAGTATGGAGAATAAGAAAGAGCGGGAGGGAGAGCTTGAACAGTGCCAGTGCCGTACAGTAGCACAATTGAGGAGCTGCTGATACGGCCCTGTACGTTGTTAGAGTACAATATCACAGTCATGTATCGCCAATCTACTCGTACAGTACGCTACAATACCGGTTCTGACTGCCCACAGAAATGGGATGACCAGGGCAGCACCCTTACCCCATACGATATATGCCAGTTGTCAATCAATCTAATGTGATAGAGTGCTCGAATAGAACCACTTCCACTCCGAAATTTAATTAAAGTTGAGGGATTTGGGAAGGGGATTGGGTGGCGAACCGTAGCGGGCCACAGTGTCACAGAATACCGCACAGTATTCGGAGACCGTACGGGTCTGCATTTTCTCTCTTGTACGAGTACTTGTAGTAGCTGCCACCGTGGGGTGTGTGAGATAGTTACCTAGATAGGTTGATAAGGTTTACTTAATATAAGCATATTTATTTATTTATGTTCATTATTGAATGGGGCTTGTGGTTTGGATCAAGTTGCTTCAGCCGCCGGTAAAAAAATATTAGAGTTGGATGAACTCCGGGAACGGTTGGCAGGCTTTGCTGGGTACGGCGGGAGAGTCCTCCTGTGTGGAGGAGATTTTGCAAAAGGGTGTACTGTGGGCCCTATGGTACCAGTACTCGAGTCGCACACTCGAGTAATAAAACGGGGGTAGGTCCGACCAGCTGTGGACGAGGCTTTCCGCTGGCTTTTGTCCTCCAAACCAATGTGCGCAGTGGTGCGGGGCGCGTTGCTGTCGCTCCATTACTGGGAACAGCTACGCTGGTACTGTACTGTACTCGTACTTGGAGCCATGCTCACCTTGTGGCCATACATTCGACCGGCATTCCTCCAGTAGCCTTTTTACTCCTGTGGATCATCATCTCCATAGTCTAACCGCTGTATTAGACTCCCAAGGAAGATGAATTCTTCACCCAAGTTTTCCGGTTGTTACTACTGTACTCGAGTAGTGAAAACTGCTGGTGGCAAGCTACCGCTGAAGATGTTGAGAAAAAGAAAAACAATGGCGAAAGAAGGCGTCCAGACCAATTGCCGTGGCTCGTAAGTGCGTAGAGAGAGAGAAGAAGTGGTGGTCATCCCAGCGCCCAGTTGTCTCTGATTGACGCTCACCGTAAAAGCCGCTCCATACCGATAATACCGGTAATGTTGTTTTTCCCTCGTGGATCAGGATGGATGTGCTTGGCGGCCGAGAGCCATTCGACTCAGCCAAGTACTGCACCGGTACTTGTATGTCTGAGGCTTCATAATATAAAGAATTATAGGAGAGGAGCGGGAACAGCATTGGCAGAAATCTGTGTTCCGTTCGTAACCAAATTTGACCCCTACAGTACCGGTACTGTAACCTCCTCAACCGCAGGTGGTGAGATACCCGAGAAGGTTGTCCGAGCAGTGTCTATCAAAATGCTTTTTGGCTACTCAACCGCTTGAAGTTGGCATATCGTAGGTCTTGGAATGGCTCAGAATCACTTGCAAGCTTGATGAAGGGTTCGGTTACCGGTACTTGATTCCGCTTTGGGTTCAAGTTTGTCCCTGTTTTTTCTTTCTTTTCTTTTCTTCCCTCCATTTCTTTATTGTGAGCCTTTCTTTGTTGTAAGTTGTAGCCCCACGATTGATGGGCTGACGGGCGGATGGTGTTGTGAGGAACCCCCCACGCCGCTGCGACCCGTAGTTGTGGGATGGCACTATCTTTCTCTGGAAGCCACCCTCGTGGTTTCACAGTCTCACACCGGTACCGGTACCCACCCAGATTAACACATTCACTTCATCCACCCTTACGAGTACACTCACACTCGCTCACACACAGCATCATTCCCTTTTTACTCCTCTTCCCTCTGCTCCCGTCGTGCCCCACTATACTCTTGCTGTATTCACTGTACCTCTCGGCCACACGCACCCGCGTCCTCCCAGAAGTGTCGCCGGTCTTTTCCTCCCTCGTTTGCTTGCTCGCCTGTGGTTGCCTACCTCCCGGTAGCGCTTTTTTGATATTGATGTAGATACGACTATTCCTGCCGATATAGATAGGAGCTACTAGGAAAAGGAATAGAGAGAGGGCGAAAAAAGGAGGATCGAAATGGAAATATTGGGGGATTGGGGGAAAGGGAAAAAAAAAAAAAAAAAAAGCCACCGGCACTGGTGGCCGGTGTATTTCTTACTGATTGCTTGTTCGCTCGGTGGTAGTTCTTTTCTAGGTCCCTATGGCAGGGGCTCACTCTCCGTCCACTCACAATTCACCTTAATTTTCTCTTTTGCTGTCGTCTCTGTGAACTTCCCTTCCCCGTTCTGGGTTCATACATTCCTCTACTCGTGACGTGAACTATAGTATGCACCGAACTGTTCCCTCAAAGATTGGCCGCCTTGGGTGTCACTTGTTCAGAGCCTCTGGCTTGTCTCGGCGGAGGGCCTCGTGAGATTTCCCAGTGGGGGATTGGACTCACAAAGTTGCTCCTCAATTGGTTCCTGCGGGAGTGTTTTGACATAGGAAATGGGGGGGGAGAGGAATATGTGGGTTATGGGTACGGTATACTCTAGTATAGTAGGTACAGCTTTTGATTTAGCACGCCTCATCAGGGCTTACGCCCCAGAGCTCATCATGCTTCACTTCCTAAACCTATCCAAGTGCCCTCTTGCTTAGGATGAGATCAGCTATGGATCCTCAGACACTACTGTATTTAAAGACTACCAGCTGCCCCCTTTGTTTGCTCATCAGAATCATCAGCATCTTCAGTATCATTGTCGCCCCCCCCCCCTCCCCCACCTCTCCTGTTTTACTATTCAGCTATATATTCCTCAATTTTGCCTAGGTCTCGCATATATCTGACCCCCCTCTGCTATTACCGAACACTACCTTAGCCCCACCGTGAATCCCGAACTTCTCTAAATCATTCACAACTATGCCTCCTCATACCAACGAACATTCCGGACATAGCGATAACGACGTCACTCTATCATTAAGCGGTCTTGCCTTACATAGCGAAGCTGGCGCCCCCCACCTCGGCAGCAATCATCGTGCTTCGAACGGGAAAAAGAGCAAGAGGAATATCCTTACAGACTCGTATCTGAAGACTCATAGTGGGAATTTATTTCACGAGACCGATCGTCCTCTTCGTCCCGGGATTTATGCCCCGACGCCCGCGTTTTTCGATCCTGTCACCGAGGACCTCGATCTGCCCATAATCAGAAGTCATTCGGTACGCCTAGTGAAAGCTGGTATCGTTGGTCTTGTTACTCAAGGTTCGAATGGGGAAGCTGTCCATCTGAGCCAATCCGAACGCCGGGCTGTCACCGCTGCGACACGGGAAGCTTTGGATGGTGCCGGCTTTGGCCATATTCCGGTGATTGTCGGTTGTGGGGCTCAGTCCACTCGTGAGTCGATCGAGTTATGCCACGACGCAATGCTTTCTGGAGGTGATTACGCCATGGTACTTCCCCCAGCCTACTATCGCGCCTTGTACAACGGGGAGTCTCAATACGAATTTTTCAGCGATATCGCCACCCAATCACCTATCCCCATTCTCATTTATAATTACCCTGGTGCCGTAGCAGGAATTGACCTTGATTCGGACACTCTCACCAAGCTCTCGAAGCATCCCAACATCGTTGGCTGCAAGCTTACCTGCGGCAACACCGGGAAGCTCGCTAGAGTCGCGAATGCCGCGCCAAGTGGTTTTATGACGATGGGTGGGTCCTCGGATTTTACCTTACAATCCTTGATTTCGGGCGGCAAGGGCGTCATTGGCGGACTTGCAAATATCGCTCCGAGAGCGTGCGCAGAGGTTTTTAACCTCTACGTTGATGGGAGAAACGAAGAGGCTGAGAAGATGCAAGCGGTTGTTGCTCGCGGTGACTGGGGCGCGATTAAGGGAGGTGTCGTCGGAACCAAGAGCTGTCTGCAAACCTATTTCGGATATGGAGGTTTTGGAAGGCGGCCACTTCCTCGGCCAACTCCTGCTCAGGACGTAGCCTACAAAGAAGATTTTCAAGAGTTGTTGCTTTTGGAAGAATTTTTGGAGAACGGATGCCGCGATTCTGACATCCACTCTGAGAGAATAAAGGAATTTCCACAACTTGTTGAGCTCGAACATATGCTTGTATAAGTTCCCTTGCCCTACCTTTTTTAAACACTCTTAGCAGAACTTTGTTTTTATTTTTTCTCTCTTTCGTATCGTAACATTTGTTCGATCGTTTGTTGCTTATCCCCCTGGGGTTTATTTATCGGATTGGGACTGGGGATTTCATGCGCCTAGGGCTGGGTACCTGGGCTGCTTCGGAGCGTCACGAGAAAAGCCGCTAGAGATCACACAACTTGGAGTACTTTTTTTTGGGTTCCCTTTGTCGTTTAGGTTATGCCTTCTCTCTTTCCGGCATCCGTTTTTCTTTCCAACGTTTGCTCTTTTTTCTTTTTTAATTTCATACTCTCTGCTTGTCACTTTTCCTTAGGTAGATTGGACTCACAAGAGGAAAGGGGGGGGAGGGAATTGGAATGGTAGAAAAGGGGCCTGATTGATTGTTAATGTCACGGTTCTTTCCATCTTATCGTTATATTTAAGGTATTATATCTATGATTACCTGTGCGTCGCGATATACATTTCCCATATCGGCAACTAGCATTGATTTCTCGACCGACCATATCACAATAATGGTAATCATCTTTCCCAATTCTTCAGTTAAGGCTTGCAACTCGAAACTCGAAACTCGAAACTCGAAACCCCACTCCCCGCCTTATCGATAAGCCAGTCGAGTTACAGTATCATAGCAAAGTGCCACGCAACCAAGCATTGACAAGGTCCTTCACCTCTCACTCTCATGCACTCTCACACTCTCCCTCACACACTCTCTCTCCTTCGCTGGTTTGGCGGATAAGTTGGGTATCATTGGGCAGGTATTCAGATGTCGTATGTACTTAGGTATTCGAGTACAGTACCGATTTATGTATGATATTCTATTCCTCATGCTAGTCAGTTTTGCCACCATCCATCCATCCATCCATCCATGGTCGAGTTGAGTTGAGTCGAGTTGAGGATTACTCGTATGTAGACCACACACCACCGTAAGCTACCAAAAGTGGATATTCCACCCGAAGCATGACTTTCGCTTTTGTCCACAATTGACGATACTTTGCTATTATTACTCTAACCGCCTTTTTACTGTGCTCGAGTACTTCCCCCTCTCCCCCTTATTTTTTGCTTTTTTTTTTTTGTTCTTTTTTGCTTGGGGGTGTGTGGTATTGATGTGGAGGAGGAGAAGGAGGAGAAGGGGGGGTTTTACTTGTTGTAGGGTCTCGCAATTGTAGGTTCCTGTATGGCAGGAGTGTGTACTGTAACTGTGTGCATGTGGTGTATCATACTCGTACTGTACTCGTACTGTACTGTACTCGAGTACCGGTACAGTACCCGTACAAGCTGGCGGCTGCAGCTGCCGGCTTGGTATAAGGCTGGGAGGGAGGTAAAGTCCTTGTTTGAACGGAGGGATATATTCCTTGTTTTTTACTCATTCGTTTGCCTATCCCCTTTGCCCTCCCCACTGTCGGCGTATGCGATTGATGTATGATGCTGTACGATATTCACGAAATCCGGGGAGAGATGGGGAGAGGGGGATTACCTTTGGTGTTTACGAGGACGGGCTCATCGGGTCCACGGTGCGTACCGCTTACTATCGCTGACTACTACTGATAACTGCTATCATTACTCCCGGTATTACAAAAGGACGGACCGACGGACATAGGGGGGGGGGGAGGGGGCACAGACAGGATCTTTGTACTATAATATGAACCACAAATACCGTACCTCCTACTCAGCCCAGGCGCCTTCCGGA